TTATTAGCTGATGTTTGTGTGGCAGAGTAAAGAGTGTTTGGAAAAAGTGACTCAAACAGTTTCTTTCCTTGCACAGCCAGAAAATTCTTACATGCTTTTGCTCACAGGTAGATATTGATTGCTCTCTCTCTCTCTCTCTCTCTCTCTCTCGTCCATACGGCATATATTGTAGTTGGTTTGCACATCTGTCTGCAAATATGTTCAATTCATTGACTGGGAGTAGTACGGATGGGTTTCATTTTCTTTTTGCTGGGTTTATAATTTTCTGTAATTGATTTCAGGCGAGGTGCAGAAAGATAGGGCTGCTGAGCTGTTGGGCTTGCGTCCTTGTGGGTTCAGGCCAAAACACTCCAGCAAACTAGGAAATGAATTTCGTCTGTTCACAAGCTATGACCCTGAGACAAGACTAGGAGGGTGGGAAAGATAAAAACAGGTTGACTTCTCTCTCCCTCTTATCTCTTATCTCCCTCTCTATGAAGACCTAAATTCTTAACTTCATGTTCTTTTCCCCTTGTGCAGAACTCAAGACTAATCTAAACCTCTAAGATGATGCAAATTAGGATTGAAATTATATGATTGCTCCAACCCCCTGCAAGAGCTGGATAATAGGATCAAATTAGTGTCTATACAAGTACTTGTTGCCCCCTACCATCTGGCTAATAGCATGTAATGTAGTTCTTGCAACATCCGAACAACGAGTATTTTTGCTTTAGTTTATCTTGTTGAAAAGGGCAGCTTTTTTCGTCTTCAAGCCCTGATGTTTCTAATCAGAATATGATACATTTTTTTTTTTTATCGGGTATTTTTCTTCTTCACGACTCAATACAGTATTGTTCGAGTAATTCCATGTCTCTGGTGTCGACATGACTTAACTTCTCCTCCAGGCAGTTGACTTAAGACCTGAGATCATATTTCCTCTCAACCAAGCCTTGATTTCAATTTGTACTTGTAATGTATGGGGATGAGAATGGAAGATGATGGGAATGGTGCTTGTTTCCTCTGCACTGACTCCAATTTTTAATGAAAATATGATAGTATTTTAAATATATTTTATTAAAATAGTTTCTATTTTATTTTTATGATAAATAAAATAAATTTTCGGTACATTTTTTTAAAAAAACTTTTATTTTTAAATATAATACAAAATTTTATTAGTAATTAAAATATCTAATTAAAATCTCGTTCGTCTTAAAAATAGAAAAAGTAAAATTTAATTAGTGAACCAAATATATTTTATTTTAGTTATTTTTTTTTCTCTTTATTAATTGTTCTATAATAAAAGACATACAATTTTAAACTCAAAATTATACATTCAAAGAAAAATATGCGAAATTATTAAATATTCAATTAAAAATAATTTTTTATTTGATTTATTTTTATATATATTATTATATTATTTAATTTAATAATTAATACATATTTTTTTAATAAAAAATTGTAAGTTTTAAAGGCTATATCCATATACACCGGCATACAAACCGGACCCGGTTCAGCGCCGGCATGGATCGTCTCTACCCGATTGGGACAAATAATTTTGATGACGTAATTTCGAGAAGAAACAAGATCCTGGAAAATATATAAATCGGCTGGTGGTTTTCATTTCTAATTTTCTAAGCGATTAACAGTCAAGGGAAAATACAAGTTGGAAATACTTTCGAGCAAAAGTGAGTAAAAGACATGAGACCAAATATTGTTACCGAGGTAAGCTTAGATCTGTGCTTTGGCAGCTTCTTCATTTTTTTTGGACTGTAATCTCATTCATTCGGGTACTGTTTGTTGATGTACGACTTAGCTTTTAGCTCTACAGCCCTTGCTAGATTGCTTACTCCGTGAGAGAAGAAAGGAAAGACGAAATTGTTGAATTAGGAAATAATGTTCAGTGTTTTTACCGCATAACTAA